GGAGAGGATGTGGAGAAAGATCATTCACTACTAGTGGAATTGAAAACTTGTCCAACACCCATGGAAAACAGTGTGGAGACCTCTTAAAATACCAAAAATGAACCTACCATAAGATCTGGCTATGCCACTTCTTGGCATATACCCAAAGGACTCATCCTATTGTAGAGACACTTGTACAACCCTGTTTGTTGCTGCTCTTTTCACAATAGCTAAGAGATAGAAGCATCCTAAGTGTCCCTCAATTGATGAGTGGATAATGAAAATGTGGTATATTTACACAACGGAGTTCTATTTAGCAATAAGGTGAAATAATGAAATTTGCAGGTAAATGGAGGGAGGGAGGGAGGGAAAGAGAGAGAACATGTTGTCAGAAAAAAGTGATGGGGAGATATGGGAGGAGTTGGAGGGGAGGGAATGGGCATGGATTTGATCAAAACACCTTATATGCATGTATGAAATTCTCAATAAAATTTTAAGTTAAAAAATGCATACATACATACATACACACATACATAAATAAAAATAACCATTCTTTTTGAAATATTTAACAAACATTTGAGAAGAGTTTGAGATAAGGTTTTACATAAAATTCAGGCTAACCTTGAACTCCCTATGTAGCCAAAGCTAACCTCTACGTCCTGAATACTGGGATCACAGGCATGATCCTACATATCCTGCTTTAACAACCATGTTGTATTGATGAAACGTTAACCACTTGTAAGGATAGTATCACCTATTTATAGGGAAATGGGGGAACCTTAAGTGGGAAAACCATGATGGGAGGGGTGAGACAATGCAAGAGATAAACAATGCCTAGCTAGTTTTGAAAACCAGAGGGAACCATATTAGTCCTACAACCTACAGACAAATTATACATAGCAGATCAAGAAATACAGGTCTAGGTAAGGTTTATCTGAGAACAACTGGTCTTTGCCCAAGATTTATCTACATGACACACAAGTAATTAACAATACCAGACTGGTGGAACTAACCTTCTTGGGTGTTTAACAGACATACTTTGAGGCTTATGATAATTTGGTCAGAGGGACATAAAGGACAGTTTTTGCTCCTTGCCCTCTTAGGTTGACTAGTTCCAGGAGAAAAAACCTGTCCTGTTGTTCAGGGAGGCCTAGGAGACCCCACCAGATGGACTTGAACCAATGCCCATTCTATAAAAAGGAGGGTCAACACAGAGGATTCATTTCCTCCATGCTTCCAAGCGAAGCCAACCATGGTCGAGCAGGACCTTTGACTTATCTTCACATAGGCAGAACTGGTAAAAGAAAGGAGCCAGGGGCTCCTCCCAAGCCCATGTGACCCCTGAGGAACAGAACCTCAAATGACCTTAATAGTAAAAATAAATTGGTTTATCTGGACCAACTGTATGGCCTTGAACACCTAAAAGGAAAGTATAACCAAAGATTAAAGGGGCCAATATAATTTCTTAAGAGTCCATATGCATAGCTAAAGGCTACATAACAAGCAACAATGCCAGACAGGTGATATCTTCTTGAGTTGTTGGCCAAGGTGGCCAAAGGGACTCCCAGATAGTAACCCAGCATAGAGCTGGGAAGGTGAGCAGCGGACCCCAGTCTTGTCTAAAGGAATATTAACAACTGATTACCGCTAGATGAGGAGAAGCTTACCCTCCTAAAACAAAGACCTCTAGATGGGCTGACTAGATTCACCAGAAGGGCAGGTAGTGGGGAATGGCTGGGGGTGCCGACAACATTGCAGATAGCGGCAGGGATATCAGAGTATAAGGGCTCTAGTAGGCGGAGGGAGGCTATGGGAGGGTGCTATCTGGGATGTGGGTGTATAGTCGAATGAGATGGTTTGGGATGATCTGTGTGATATACACACACAAAAAAAAATCAACAAATTTTTTAAAAATGTATTATATTTGAGGAGGAAGCATGGAAATTTACATCGTGCTAATTAGTAGAGGTGATAAGCAATACCACTGAAATCTGCCCGATGACTTTATAGAGATACACAGGCGCCAAGGATCCAAGTGTAACCGATTATGACTAGTAATAATTAGATACATACAGATTAGAGATGCAAGCACCAACATCTCAGTGTTAGTAGCAAAAATAATGAGTCTGTCTGTAAGGAACAATATATTCTAAAAAGAAATGGAGATCTTTGTTAAACGATAAAATTTCACCCAATTTTATGTCTTATAGGGCTTATACTGAGTTCAATAATATATAAATATATTAATTCAACTGTGAACCTAGAAACTTGCACCCACTTGTGAAAGAGATGTACTGTTGCTCTGAAATGTGTTACTGAATATGTTAAAGCTGTAATGAAAAGCTTCTAATCATGTAGTTATTAAAAATTTAAAAAGTATAATGAAAAAAATAATTCTTCAAAGCATAAAAATTTGCTCCTTAATAATTTTAGATGTGAAAAATATTATCATTGAAATCTACCTCATGACTTTATATCAATCCTCAGATGCCAATGAGCTCAGAAAGTAACCAACTGTGACTAGTAATATTCTGATATATAGAGATTAGAAACGCATGTGCAAACATCTTAATGTCAATTGCATTAAAAATTAAGTTTTCTGCATGAAACTCTCTATTTTAATAATGAAATGGAGACCTTTTTTTAAAGGTTAAAACCCCATTTAATTTTATGTCTTACAGAGTTTATACTGAGTACAATATTGTCTAACTGTAATAATTCAACTGTAAACCTAAAAATGTACAGCCAATTTTGTAAGCGATGCAGCCTAGCTCAGAAAATTGTTATTGAATATGTCAATGCTGATGTAATGAAATGCATCTTCTAAGTATGTGGTTATTAAATAATTTTTTAAAAATTCAATTATCCAAGAATAAAAAAGAAAACAAATTAAGTCAATAAAAAAATTAAGCAGGGGGTTTGAGAGATGGAGAGATCAATCAACAGTTAAGAGCACTGGCTGTTCTTGCAGAAAACCTGGGTTCGAATCCCAGCACCTACAACTGTCCGTAACTCCAATTCCAGGGGAATCCAATGCCCTGCTTTGTCCTCCATGTGCACTACACACACAATAAGGGTGCACTTACACATATGCAAGCATAGCACTCATACATATAAAATAAAAATAAGCAAATAAATAAATGGGCAGGAGTATACAACAGACATACAAAGTTATCAGAATTTTTACCTTTTTTTGAGACTGGGTCTGTGAATGATGTCATCTGATACCAATGTTTTATATTAGCCATTCAAAATCAAAGAGCAGTGTTCCTATCTGTGATGTGATGCTGACTGTGACATTCAGAGCAATGGCTCCTCCAAATGCCACATCTCAACCCCTGGAACCTGTGGATGTCAGCTTACAGGGCAAAAGGTGTTCTTCAGACATGATTATGCTGAGGATCTTGAGATGAAGAAAGATTGTACAGGATTGTTCCCATGGCCTGGTGTAAGCACAGAGGGCTTTGTAAGATAGAATGGAGAGTCAGTCAGGGAAAAAAGATGTGACCACTAAACTGAGGTTGATGTGACACAGGGCCAGGAGTCAACAAATATCAACAGCCCCCCAGGACAAGGAAAGGGGTTCCCCCCCAAACTCTAGGGGAACACAGCCTTGGTGACTGACTTTAGACCTGTCCTCTAAGATTGTAAAGTAATAAATGACTTGTTTTAAGATAAAATAATAATAATAATAATTTTTAAAATGTGTTTCTGGGGCTGGAGAATAGGCTGAGGTTAAGAGCACTGGCTGCTCTTGCAGAGGACCCAGGTTCTGTTCCCAGCACCCACATGGTGCCTAACAACTATCAATAACTCCAATTCCAGAAGATCACCGATGCACTCTTCTGACCTCCATGGGCATTGCACAATATGAGTGCATTTACATACATGCCAGCTATATACTCATAAATATAAAATAATATAAACATAAATAAATAAATAAATAAATAAATAAACAAACAAATGTGTTTCTAAGAAGGGTCTCAGTATTCCCCAGGCAGCTACTAAAGGAATCCAAGGTATAAGAAAATGTTGAGAACTTGTGAGGGAAACTAGGCATAGGGCACAGGCACTCAGGAGGTTGGAAGAGGCTCACAAGGGAGGATCCAAGGTCTGCCTGGGATACATTGAGTTCAAGGTTAAGCCTGGGGTATTCAGTGAGGCGCCATCTCAAAATAAGTGAAAACGAGGGCAGGGGTATTGCTCAGTGATAGAGCACTTATCTAGGATGCATGAAGCCCTAGGTTCAATCACTTATAATAATACTTGAAGTAGGAGGACTGTGAGGAACCTTCCACATACTGCAAGTTAAATGTAAATTGTACCTCCCAAAAAACAGGCCTAGAGGTGCTTGCCTATGATTCTAGTACTCCGGAGGTAGAGGCAGAAGGATCACAAATTCAAGATCATCTTCTAGTTACATAGTGAGTTTGAGGACAGCCTGGGATATGAGACCCTGTCTCAAAAAGAAAAAAGAAATGTGCCTAGCTATGGGACCCTCAGGCGTATTTCACTCTTTGACTGCTGGCTAGCCTACTCAATGACATCAACATCCCATTTACGGCACACTTTTAGAGTTAGCAAGATAACAGAAATGATATGGCTTACTGACCAAAAGCACATCATATTAGTACTTGTTTGGTACAAAGACACTTGGCAAAAGGGTGGGCAAGAGAGTGATCAAAGGTCAGGTGTGTCTTCAAGGTCACACAACAGTTGCTACATAATAACTGTATCAAACACTGCTGCTACCCAACTGGCTTATGAGCAGTACAAACTCAGAAATACTGTTCCAAGAGGCATGGTAAGAAGTCAGTGCCACAGTGAAAATCAGCAACTGCTGTTGCCTTACCTGAGTAAGACTCAATAGGAGAGAAAAGCTCAGTGGCAGTAAAGTGATTAGAAAACAAAGCTGTTAGCTGGACCACACTTTGAGCAGCTGTGCTCAAGAGCCAATAAAACAGAACACAACACCTTCATACAGAATGTCCTGCCCTCTCCCAGGAGTCACAGGAACAGAATGAAACTGATTGATTTATTGACATACATGTGACAGACAGAAATACAAACACTTGTGTCATCAATAGTTACTGAAAGCAGACATTACTATTCAAACTACATAGGAAGGAACAGCACTTGCTTTAAATTTTTATATCAGCAGAGCTCTAGTTCATTAAAAACACCACCAACTCAGCCTTCCTCCAGCCCAGTTGGATCACCATTAATCAAGTTTTATAAATATTCAATCACATTTCCAAGAGAAAGCAGAATTTCATTTCTTAAAAATCAATTCTTAGTATCTGCTGTGTTGAACAGAATTTAAACTACAGCCATATTTGCATTGTCTTTCATTAAAAAGCAGTTATGGGACACTATAACATAGTCCACTATTAAAGGAAGCTTTAACACTATACAACACTACAGCCATTCAAGTAAAATAACAGTGCTAGATCATTAACATTTCTTTAAAAGGCAGCAAAAGCAGAAGTGATTTTTTTGCTATCAGAGTTTAGTTTGCATGCTTCTGTTTTAAAATAATTAATATCTGTGTTCAAAACAATCAGATACCATCCTTAATCAAATACAAAGAAATCAGCCAGGTCTGAATTCACTATTATCATTCAAGACAAAAATACTTCCTTCCTCCTTCCAAACACCACTTCCTTTATTTTTTCCCAAGTTTAATATTCTGTACCCTTGAACTACCCGATCCTCTTCATATCTACTATTTGGGGCTTAGCAGGATCCGAGTCACCAGACTTATCTGTGGATCTGTGGGTTTGGCCTCAAGATACTAGTAGCTCAAGTACCAACTAGGCACATTAATAGTACCATATCTAAACAGCTGATATGCTTGGCTTTGTTTACTAAGATGGAAAACAAAAAAATTGGGCTGGATGTAATGGTACTACTACATTGTCCAGTACTTAGGAGAGTCCTACAAGTCTGGGCTATATAGCAATCTCCAGGTTAGACTGTGCTACAGACTGTCACTCTGACTCAAAAGTAATACTAAAATGGAAAAAAAAAAAACAGCTGATCCCAAACAGTATACTAACAGTAGCAGTATCATCACTTTAAATGTTACACGGTATACAGAGCCTTTGCAAAGCATTGCAGAAGACTAAATGGATGAGATGTCTACTATGCTTGTTTTTGATCTATCCTTGCACACGCACAAAACAATTTTATCTCATTTGAATATGACTCTCAACTCCTTTTATTCTATTTCTTCTTTCATGTTAATCAAAAAATGGGACAAAGGTCTGCACTCCTTTTTAAAGAAGATTTGTTATACCCCATACCATTTGTTCAAACAAGGAAGTCGATATGGAAGGAAGAATGTTCACTGTTGACACTAATCTGATCTCATTAAATATTACATTTTCAATGTTTTACTTACTATAAATTTACCATAAATGAAATTATTCCACTGACATAATATAAATATTTTATACAAATAGGATAACCCTGTAATAAGCCCTTAACAATTCAAGTCAACTGGATTGTTATCCATAATACAATGCCAAGTTGATGTTCACATGCACTTTTGTTTTTTGGAGACAGGGTCTCCCAGTAGTCCCAGCTGGCCTGGAACTCACTATGTAGACCAGGCTGGCCTCCATCTCTCAGAGATCAACCTGTCTCTGCCTCCTGAGTGCTGGGATTAAAGGCATGCCACCATGCCCAGCTCATATGCACTTTCTTAAGGGAATTGTTCTTTTGGCCTCATGACTATACAAACTACTGTGTATCTGTTCATCCAGAACCTTCTCAAAGTTTCATAGCAGCAATCCAAAAGATGTCTATTTTTACATCTAATTCACTGGTAAGTGTGGAAACAGAAATAAGTTCTTGATTTCAACTTCACAGTCAGACAGAACTTCTGCTACCCTCAGGTCAACTTTGTAATGCAGAGGAGGTAAGTATAATAGGCTGTGGATCATTCACCACTGTGGTAAATGAAGTTATTATTACAATTTGAAAAGGTCCCAAGGCCACTCTATTAGAGGTAAATGGTATGAAGTATAATAACAGAACTAAAAGCAATCTAGAATATACCTTTGTTCTAGGTCATCAGAGGTCAGAAAGAGGGAACTGGGCTGAAATAAAATGACAAAACACATGATATGTCTTTTTTGTAATTTTAATTGAAGCACTGCTAATTCATTTTTTCTTAAACTCTCTCAAAAGCACCAAATTTTCTAAGTCAATTTGGGGGGAGGAGGGTAAACACCATCAGGATTCTCTTCAGAACAAAACAATGATGCTCATTCCTCCAAATGCCCAAACTGAAGGTCTACTGAAACCAAAGCTAAACCCCCAAAACAAACCCTACATAAAGATAAAAAGTAACAAAAATCACATTCTGGGGGGGGTCAGTGCATCTTGTGGTCTGCTGTGCTGTCTAATTGTCCTTCGGCTGACTTTCAAAAAAATTAACACCCTAGCTCACCAAAATATACATTTTTTTTCTCATTGGCTTTTTAAAATTAAAAATAATAATTAAAAGAAGAAAAACACACTTGAAGGAATTTGTTTTGATGGCATATTCAGCATATGGAGGTCAGGAAGGCAACTTGCAGCACACATTAGGGGACGTCCATCTTTAAGGTTTAGCCTTCTTCCAAATAGTGTAGAATACCCACCTGGACAGGAAGTCAAGGAATGAAGGTCACGCAAGGAAAGACAGGTACCAGTAAACATTTGCGTGTCACTCTACAAAATGAAAGATGGACAAAGAGATTTATGGCTTAGGTAGAAAACTGTGGAAATGAAACAAAAGGCTTTCAAACAAGGCCACATTGCAGCATGGGACATCCACCACCTGGGACTTCTGAAGGGGAGACTGAATGGACATAGATGAAAGGAATGCACTCAATTCTCTCCAGCAACAGTACTGCTTCTGCTCCGAAGTTCTCCCCAAAGTTTAGTTTAGTATGAGAAGGAAACAAAAGCAGAAGAGAAAACGGGATAGGTGAGGGAAGGTAAATGAGAAGGACAAGAAAGACTGAATGAAAAGGGTGAAACCAGAGAAAGGTAGGGGAGCCAGAGTCAGAAGCCCTTCCCCATGTTATCCCTATTCATCAAACCTCTACACATGAAAAAAAGAAAAAACTGTGTGCATTCAAGTGTTCCTGAAGGGATGGAGGGCAGGGAAGATGTCTGGCTTCCACAGCCTGCCTGCCCAAACCTGTAGAACCTAGACTTACTATGGGCCAGCAGAATTCTGGGGTCTCCCTGCCTGTAAGAGAAACTGCTGTCATGGCAACCTGGACTCGGCTGGCACACATAAGGAAGTTCTTGGGTGCTGGCTATAGCCTGTCCACATTTTAGAAGGAAAAGAAGTACAGGTGACCAATGATACTCTCCTTCCAGGTTTTCTCTATCTTCTTCCCTTTTCTTCTTGGAACTAACTTCACTCAGTGGACTACCAAGGTGACAACACAACTCTGCAGTCCTCAGGATGATTTCACTCATCCACTTCTTCCTACAAATTACTATCAAGTACAATACAATACTGGCATTAAGTCACATCATCTTAGTCAAATGAGTTCCTGGATTTCCTAGCCTGAGTTGGCCTGGAACTCATTATATAAACTAGTCTGGCCTCAATTTTAAGAGATTCACCTGCGCCTGCTGAAAGTAAAGGCATGTGCCATCATCCCTGTCATGTCCCATCTTTTGACACTGCAGCATGTCATCTACAAGTTAACACTCTAGAACCACAAATCAAATTACAAGAAAAAGAAAATTATTTTTTTTAATCTCAATGTTTTTTCTACTTTTCATATGTATGTGTTGTGTGCATGTGTGTAGGTATGCATGTACATGTGTGCATGTGCATGTGGAGGTCTGATGTTCATGTTAGGAAATCATCCTCAGTCATTTTTCCCCCTCCTTCACTGAGGCAGGGTCTCTTATTAACCAAACGCAGAGCTCACCAATATGGCTAGTCTTGCTAGGCAGCTTGTTCTAGGAATCCCCAGTCTCTGCCTTCCAAAGCTAGACTTAAAGATGGGTCACCCCATATTTACATGGGTTTCTGGGGATCTGAGCTCTGGCCCTCACGGTGAGTGTTTATGCTAAGCCATCTCCCCGGCCCCAAAAATTGCATAATATTTTAAGTTTACCATTTTATTTTGGACCACATTCATAGTTAACCTGGGCTGAACGTGACCCACTGGTGTCAGGTTGGACCAGCCTGGCTATAGCTTCTCTACAGGTGACATAAGTCCCCTGGAGGGCTGAGGAAAGAGGTCACTGGACCTTACCTCCACATTTCTGAGCAAGCCATGGCGGGGCTCGAGTTTGCATATCTAACTAGTTCCTAGGCAATGTGGCTGGCTTGGGCCCCACCTTTGATAAACCAGTGTTTTGGACCAGTGGTACTTAATAATTTAAAGCTCTAGGAAGCTATGACAAGCTATACCCCATACTCTTTAAGAGTGAGACCTCCAAATTAGTATATTTTTCCAAGTGCGCAGGAGGAATCCCAGTCAAGGTTGAAACTCAGGGCTTTATATACAATAGAGCTAATTCTGTTTATTGTTAAGATTAATATCAGTAAAGCGGCATGCAATGTACTTAGATGTTCTGATCTGGCAACATACAATCTCCTGGTCAAAGGATACAATTCCAAGTATGAAGGGACACAGACAATCTCCTTTGAGAATTCCACAGGACAATACAGGTGTCCCAGCTGTTCTTCATAGAGCGAGAGGGCTTCAGTCAAATTGACACAGTTGCCCTAAATCGAAGAAGAGAAGAGTAAACAATGAGATTTCTGAGTTGTACTCACTTGAAGGTCTCTAATAATGGAGAACAATTGAGCTTGAGATAAAAGTTCATCTTTTTAAAATGAGATAAGGCCTCTATACTTTCACAAATTGCATTGAATTCTATTTATAGACTCATTAGTTCATTCCCCTTCTACCTCATTTACAAAGCTATTTCGAATTATCAGAGTATGAAGCAACAGACAACAGAGCAATTTCTCATCAGTGACACAGTTCATTGTATCCACACCATGAGATTTAGCAGAGATTCATCCACATAACACACTCCAATCTTTTTTTTTTTCAGTAATGGTCACAACTGTGTTGAAAACAAAGTATCAAGAAGATAATGCTCTGGCTTTCCGGAGTGACTTAAAACTACATCTCTTCTGCAACTCCAACAACTATATTCATACCTCATACTTTCCCCAAATTCTGACTGATTTTTAAATAATTTATTATGATTGTGTGTGCACGTTGGGGGTGGGTGTAGGTGGGTGTCTGTGCCATGGTGTGTGTGTAGAGGTCAGGGGACAACTTTGTGGAGTCAGTTTCTCCCCTTCCATCTTCAGGTGCCTAACTCAAGTTGTGAGGCTTTTTGGCAACCACCTTTTCCTGCTGAGCCAACTCACCAGACCTCTGTGACTGACTTTAGGAAGACAACACAAAATTATTCAGAATATATATGCTAAGTATACCCTAGTTGTAGCCTTTATCAAAAAGCTTTTCTCCTTTTATAGACACCATGTTCTTCTTCAGCCTCCCTAGCAGCTGGGGCTAGTCAATGACACATAGAAGAAAACTCATGGGAAGGTTTTTGATCCAGAAATATGGCGTCACCCCATCCCTTCAACTTTCTTCTACCTTATATCCTGGACATAATACTCAGTGCTGTAGCAGCCATCTTGTGAGCATAGGGGAGAAGAGTGAATGAAAAATCTATCAGAGAGAGCCAGGTGTGGTAGCGCACAACTTTAATTGCAGCGCTTGGAAGGCCAAAGTGGTCCACATACTGAGCTCCAGGCCAGCTGGGGTTATAGGGAGACCCTGTCGCAAAAAGACCAGGGAGGGAGGGAGGGAGGGAAGGAGGGAAGGAGGGAGGGAGGAAGGGAGGAAAGAAAGAGAAAGAAAGAAAGAAAGAAAGAAAGAAAGAAAGAAAGAAAGAAAGAAAGAAAGAAAGAAAGAAAGAAAAAGAAAGAAAAGAAAGAGAGAAAGAAAAATCTATCAGAGATACTAACAAAAATACAGTGGAGCTACTCAATAGAGACAGTATCTGCTTCTAGGTCTAGGGTAGGGTTTATAAGGATCATTTGGGCACGATTCTCAATCAGGAGCTTTTCATTTAAGATTTGGAAAGCAAGATGAGTATGTAATGCACCCATTCTTCTTTTTCTTTTCTTTTATAAGCCAAGGTCTCATACTCTATCTCAATCTGGCCTTGAACCCACTATGCTATGTAGCCTGGGCTAGTCTCTTGGAAATCCTCTTCCTCAGGTTCTGCAATGTTGTACCTATTGTGCCTATTTCTTTTTTTTTGGGGGGGGGGTCTTTTTTTGAGACAGGGTCTTCCTGTAGCCCTGGCTGTCCTCGAACTCACAGAGATCCACCTGCCTCTCTGCCTCCGAAGTGCTTGGATTAAAGGGATGGGCCACCACGCCCAGCTCCTGTTTCTTTTTAATCACGAAAGTGAATTCTTCTGAGACTCTAGAATCTATGTGCTAATTCCATTTCTGCTTCCTAAGACCTTCACTATTCACTTGCCTCACAATAGTCAGAAACAACATGAGGTGAAAACTATTCACAAAGGCAGCCTATGATGTCAGAACTTCTGAGAACAGCATTTCAAAACCAAGCACCCAGTCAGCCTCAGACAATAGGTTAGAACTATTCCAAGAGATAGCACTGGTGATTTTAACTTAGCACATTCGTTTAGCATGACGTCATCCTTCAGTGCCAACCTGTTTAATAACCCTTCATCTAGGGTCGTGCAGTGGAGTTTGGCCAAAGTGCCTTTCACCAGCGTATAATTTGGTTTCAACATCAAGTTCACCATGAGAGCACATAAACACCACACATGTAATTTACAATTCTTAAATAGAAATACTGTGCAGTTGTTTTTAGAACACATCACCACTGAGGAAGCGATACAGAATGGAAATGCCACCACAGTACGCAGGTAAATAGTTGTCTGCCATCTTAAAAGTGACACCCTGCTGTCTGTTTAGACAGTACATATGGGAGGACCGGATATCCTCATAGAGACTGTGGTACGGAAATGGGAGGTTTCAATTTGTTCTTTTCCAACATTGTCAAGGAGAGATTTTTTAAAAAGAAAAAAAAGAAGAAATTCCACAAATAGAGACCTACCCAAAAAAGTAACATGATATATTTCACTTTCCTGTCTACTTAAATGGAACAGGTTATTTTTTTCCTTTCTTTTTAAGAAAGACACATGGGTGTTCCAGAATAGAATAGCAGCAAAGAAATAATCACCCATTAATGCAGCAGTTTCAGATTTAGAAATTTCTCCCTGCCCCATATTAGGTGTAAGTAACACTTGCTTTTTTACTTTATAGACTTTTGTATCGTTTACTTTTTATTATTTTATGGGTATGAGTGTATTGCTTGCATGTAGGTACATGCACCCATGTCATGCAACATTGAAGAGGTCAGAAGAGGGTGTCGGATCCCCTGGAACTGGAGTTACAGGTGGCTATTAACCACCAGGTGGGTGCTGGAAATCGAACCCAGGTCCTCTGCAAGAGGAGCTGAGCCATGTCTCCAGCTCCCCATCTTTGTTTTAAGACAGGGTCTCCCTGTAGTCACAACTGTCCCAGAACTCACTATCTGACCAGGCTGGCCTCCATCTCACAGAGAATGGCCTGCCTCTGCCTCTGCCTCCCAAGTGCTGGGATTAAAGGCATGTGCCATCATGAACTCACAGAGTCCTGGGATTAAAGGCATGACACTTTCATTCATTCTATCTATAACCTACTCCTGTTCTCTGCCAAAGGAAGACAGGTGGCAAAATCAAATTGATTGCCTGAGCATGTCACTTGGTGGCTAAAAAGAAAAAAAAAAGTCTGTCCTAGCATGAAGGATCACACCAGAAAGAATTACATTGTGGTGACTATACAAATATATTGGGAGGCTGGGCATGGTGGCACACACCTTTAGTCCCAGCACTCAGGAGGCAGAGGCAGGAGTATCTTTGTGAGTTTAAGGCCAACCTGGTCTACAAGTTCCAGGCCAGCTGGGGCTACAGGAAGACCCTGCCTCAAAAAGACCAAAAAAGAAAAAAAAATCAAATATATTGGGAGAATACTCTTGATTCTTTTTCTAATGTATGAATGATGAATGCTTGGCCTGCATGTATGAAAGTGCACCTGTGTTGTGCAATGGCTACAGAGGCCGAAAGACGGCATCAGGTCCCCTGGAACTGGAGTTACAGATGGTTGCTAGCTGCCATGTGGGTGCTGGGAACCAAACCGTGGCCCTCTGCAGGAATAGCCAGTGCTCTTAACCACTGGGCCATATCTCCAGTGCCCCTACTCTGATTCCTGACTTAACTATATCTTCCTGAAAGGCCTACACCCCAAGTTCATATAAATTTCAGTGTGTACAATGTATGATCCGGGACATCACAAAATTATTTAACTATGTATTTCCAACTGTAATGAATGTGGGGACAGAAAGTGATGTGCTTTCTAGATAATTCTTGGCAAAGAACATGGTCTTGAACTTATGATTTGAGGTTAAAAGAACAGCTGCAGAGACTAGAGAATGGGTCAGCAGTTAAGAGCTCTAGCTGCTCTTGTAGATGATCCAGGCTTGGTTCCCAGCATCCATATAGTGACTTACAATCATTTCTAACTCCTATTCCAGGGGAACTGAGAACCTCTTCTGGCCTTATCAGGCACTGCACCTAGGTGGTACACATGCAGGCAAAACACTCATACACATAAGATAAAAAAAATAGTTACAAAGGCAAGTTATCAAACTCTGATTCATTAGTATTTACATGTGTGTTGGTATTTTATGTGTGTGTATGTGTGTGTGTGTGTGTGTGTGTGTGTGTGCACGCACGCGCGCGCGCACGTCTATTGGCATGCTAAGGCACCAGTTCTCCATAGCAGGCACAGGAAAATAAAAATACAACTATATTTTCTAATACCACCAGTTGTTCATTCCAAATTGAGTGGGTCACAGAGAATCCATACTTAAAATCCACTTCCCTCAACCTCCTAGTTAGTTGGGATTATAGGTGAACATCACTACATCTAGTTTCTGTACAGTCTCCTTCTGGTTCAAGATCTCAGAGCCTCATATATTTCCTCAACTTGCCCTACAATGAGATTTTCATTTACTTGCAGAAATGTGGGGAAAAACTGCTAAAAGATGCTCCCAAAAGCCTAACTCACTGAATCTGGATTGCTTTTATAGTATGCAGCTTTGTTTGAACAGGTTTTGACATCGACATCCTACAAGAAGAGGTCTGTAAACTTCCACTATAAAAGGCCAGACAGATCACGTTAGGTGGCAGAGACCTTAGGGCACAAAAGAAGCCTTGGACTCTATAATGAATGGGCGTGGCTATGTGTCAAGGAACTACAAATATAAGGGGGGGCCGGCCACATCTGGCCCAGAGTGTGCAGACCCCTGCTTTACATAGAATGAAGTCTAGAATATGTTTGTTTTTTTTTATTTGCAAGAGTGGCAAGATTGCTCAGTGGGTAAAGATGCTTCCTGACAAGCCTGACAACCTGAGATTGAACCCCAGTGCCTACATGGTTAAAAAGAGAACTGATTCTTGCAGGTTGCCCTTTGACCACATGTGCCATAGTACACAGGTGCCCCCATATACATCATATACAATACACACGCACAAGTAAATAAAATTTTTAAAATGTTAAAAAAAAAATCAATTTCCAGGGCTGGAGAGATGGCTCAGTGGTTAACAGCACTAACTGCTTTTGCAGAGGACCCGGGTTTGATTCCTAGCACCTACGTGGTGACTAACAATTGTCCTTAACCCCAATTCCAGGGGATCCAACACCCTCTTTTGACCTCCTCTGATATTGCACAACACAACATGGGTGCACTTACACACATACAGGCAATAAACCCATATACTTAAAATTATAAAATAAATAAATAAAATACCCCCCCAAATCATTTCCAAGTATCAAGGGATAAAATATCCTACCACAGAGAGCTGCTTGCTCCTTAAAAATTCACCAAGTTCCAAGTGCAGTATAAATTACGACATGCCCACAGGCTTGGCATGGAGTGGGAAAAGGAGGAGCACAGAACAGGCTGGAGGCTTAGTCAGCTGTCTCGGGATTTCTAACTTGCTTTCAGCAGTATTCTTCCCAGATCCCATGAAATGCCCACGATAGAGAAAATTGTGTCTATTGTGTCTGCTCAGGAGAATAACATTAAGGTATCTGCCAGTTCTAGACATTTAAATATACCACTAATCTTTTTTTAAATTTTTAATGTGTGCCGGGCATGATGGCACACGCCTTTAATCCCAGCACTTGGGAGTCAGAGGCAGGAGGATCTCTGTGAGTTCAAGGCCAGCCTGTCTACCTAGGGAGTTCCAGGCCATCTAGGGCTTCAGGTAAACCATGTCTCAAAAGATGTGCATGAATATGTTGCCTGCATTATGTAAGTGCACTATGTGTGCCTGTGGAGGCCAAAAGAGAGTAGACATCCCCTGGAACTGGAGTTATGAATGGTTATGAGCCTCCATGTGGTTGTTGGGAACTGAACCTGGGTTCTCTGCAAAAGCAGCCAGTGCTCTTAACTGCTGAGCCATCTCTCCAGCCCCTATACCAACAATCTTCAAAAGAAGTTGATCAGTGAGTCCTAAATTACACTCATGAGGCAAAGGCAGGTGGATCTCTGTTAGGTCAAGGCCAGTCTAGTCTACATAGTAAGTTCTAGACTATTTGGGACTACAGGAAGACCCTGGCTCAAAACAAAGTGGTGGGGCTGGGGATGCTCACAGCTCTTCCTATAACTCTAGCTCCAGGGGTTCTGCCACCTCTGGCTTCCAAAGGCATGCAGACACACACGCATACGCATACGCATACACACACACACACACACACACACACACACAAACAAACACACACCACAGCATGCACTTATACAGTCATGCACACATAAGTAAAAACAAAATCTTTAAAAAAAAAGTAGCCTATACCAAAATATGCATATTAATGAAGTGAACTTCTGAGATCCAAATACAGTCTATTACTAAGTTGGCCCTATGGAAATGTTTCTTAGGTGATGGGGATCTTTGACACAAAGCAGAAGACTGCTTATGATATATGATCAAAATAATAAACTTATTTCCATAAAAAAGCAAAAAGGTAAGAGTTTGTGGGGGGATATTCTCCTGTAAACTCAGAATTTAGAGATCAGAGTGAAATACTGCTCAGGTGCTGAACTTAGTTATTAATTAAGCAATTTTTGTACCAAGTAATGAGACTGGATTAACACTTAGTTGCCCTTTTGTTATTTTTTACGAAGGAGCTGTACAGTCTTTGTGTATATACGTCTTTTATACAGATATAAAAATCACATTTCCAAGAAAATTCAGAAAACCCTAAAGAATGAAAAAAACCCCAAAAGACCATAATTTGCTTCCATCTGGTGGTGGCACCTCACACTACAGGCAAAACTGCTTATCCATGAAGAGGCACCCAGAGGATTGAGGGTGAGCGAAAATACAGTCTGTGTCGCCATCTGCTGGTCAGATCTCATACTACAGCCAGAGAAGACAAAACACACAGAAAAAAAATCAGGGTAATTCTTGTATTCTGCTGTCAACACCAACGCCCAAGAGACAGAGCAGCTACTTAGAAACTTAATGCTTGAACGAAAATAAAGTTGTATCCTTAACAGATGTAAATATGCATTGGCATTTCCAAATATCAAGTCTTACTGAATCCACGGGGAAAAAAAAATACATGGCTTACTTGTGTGAAATATTTCCCATCCTGTTTCAGTACTTTCATTGAGAGGTCAAGAATCAGTCTGAGAAACTCCCATGTAGAATCTAGATGTGAAAAAAAATTAGGTTTTAGAAATATGGATTTGCATATATCAAAAACATCTATTCACTCAAAAAGTCAACAGTAAAGCCTGGAATCCCAGGACTTGGGAAGTAAAGGCAGGAGGATCTGGGGTTAAAGGTCATCTTGCTACATGAGACTCTAACTAAAAAGAAAAAATGAAAAAATGGGATTGAAAGTTTGTTCATGAACAATAACACACGGTCATATAGCTGGTATACACACACATACTAACAAACATTAATGCCAAGTACACATCTGCTTAGCACAGTGCTCACACCACCAATAATGACATAACATAGGGCATTGGTGTATAGCTCAGTGGAGAGCTTGTTTATATGCAGGAGACCCTAGGTTCCATCCCCAGAACGCCTCCCCAATAAAAAACAAAGATTGGACACAAAGGCAGAGATGGAAATCTGAAAGCAAGCTGCTTGAAGGAGGAAAGTAGCAACATTCCCAGAGAAAACCAGAGTCACCAGCTTGGAAACTATTTTGCAATTTCAATGGGAACTGAAGTTCCTAGAGAAAATATTGCCCCAGGAAACACAACCCAGTGGTGATGTGGAGCATGTGGTTAGAGGAGAATTATTGTTGTTATTGTTTAGTGAGGCCATCAGTTTGTCAAGCTACAGGTAAAAATAATTTATTGTCAATTAAGTTAATACCAAATTCATTTAATGGCAGTCTGAACTGAAGCTTGCAGGAGGAAAAAAAAAAAGGTGTATCTATGTTGCTATTTCTCCAAGGCTGATTGATTCATTAGAACGCCCTGATTTTTTGTAGAAGAGTTGGAATGCTGTAGATCTAGAGCCAAATCATGTTGAACTATTTTTAGCCCCCTTAGCAGCCATTCGTTGCCCACCTGTGTGTGACCTAACATCCTTGGGACTATCCCATGAGATCTTTTCAGATATAATACTTTATTTAACAGACCACTAGCTTCTACCAACCGCAAAGCTAAGAATCTTACTGGATAGTTTCCAAAATTCTAGCAGAGATTTTCGTGCTTTGCTATAACCCACCTACTTGATGTCTACATCAAATTATTTGAAAAATGCCTTGATTTATGACTTCCTTTTGTTCTGCAACTTCAAAAAACTCATGAAACTGTTACTATACTGGATCATGGTATTTGTGGTAACCTGAATCCATGTTCCCACCCCATGGTCACTCATACTTTGCTCCAGGGTAAACTCTTACTCCATTTGAAGTGAAAGGTGTGTTTTCTCATTACCACTATAAAAGGAATTAAGAGCCAAATTCAAATAGGCGCTGAGGACATGGCTCATTGGGTGAAGCATTTGCCACAAAAGCATGAGGACCTGAGTTTGAGCTCCAGCATCCACATAAAAGCTGGGCATGGTGGCATGCACTGATGATCCCAGTGATGGAGAGGAGGATCTCTGGAGCTTGCTGGCCAGCCAGTCTAGCCTACTTGGTAAGTTCAATGAGAGACCCTGCCTCAAAAAAATAAGGTGTCCAGGGCGTGTTAGTTCTTGTCTTTAGTCCCAGCCTTTTGTCCCAGCACTTGCAAGGCAAAAGGTCAGTCTAGTCCAGATAGCAAGTTCCAGGCCAGCTGGGGCTACAGGGAGACCCTGTCTCAAAAAAAACAAACAAAAAATTAAAATACAGAGGAGGCCAAGAATTCTTTTAGAGAGAATTTTAAGATCCTTCATCATCACATGGCACCAAGAGGAAACATTTCTGAGAGCAATCATCTTGGTTAAAAACAAGAAATGAAATCTACCTTCTTCTGGAGATGTGGAGATTGGGACAGCTGTCAAATCGTTAATCACATAATCAAACTCTCTCCCTTCTTTGGCGTACCTCTTCAGTACTGGAATACAGTCTTCTATGAGAACCTTTCAGCGAGAACAGGATCAAACAGATGAGTGAACACATACAGTATCATTAAACACACTTCTAGAGGAAGAGGAAATGCAAGCTGGGGTTTACATCCCTGGCACACACTCCATAAAGAAAGAAACCTTCATCCTTGTCCCTTAATAGCAAAAACTAAGTGCACAGCAGATCCTACAGTTTCTCATCTGAACAATAACTCCACAGGTACTATTATTCCTCATTTTATCAATGGAGAAACCTTAATTGGGGAGCCTGACACACGCCAATGATCCTGCCTTTAATCACAGCACTTGGGAGGCAGAGGCAGGCAGATCTCTCTGAGTTCAAGGCCAGTCTGGTACAAACATAGCAAGTCCCAGGCCAACCACTGTTATATGCTGAGACCCTGTCTCAAAAAAAAAGATTTACACAGCTTGCCTAGTGCCCTAATAAAAAAGGGAGACAAAGAATTTTATTGTCAAGATGTTTTATAACCTACTTCACTTAATGCATCAAGTTCTAAGAGGTAAAGATAGGGAAAATATTAACACTTCAGCTACAGAGCAAGTTTTTGGCCAGCCTGAGCTGCAGGAAATCCTGCCTAAAAAAACAAAACGAAAAAATAAAATAAAAACAAAACTTCAGCTGCCTATAATCCACACATTAACCCCATTCAAGGGTTGGCAATGGGGCTTTATGGTACAGCACTTGTCTAGCATGCATGAAGCTCAGAGTCTGCTTGCCAGCACCACAGAAAAGTTCATGTGGCATGCTGATAACATGTCCACATTCTCATAGAGTCTCCTAAACACACATGCAGGCTGGAGCAATGAGTCAGTGGTTAAGGGCACTGGCTGTCCTTGCAGAGAACCCAGGTTGGGTTCCCAACACCCAGATGGCTGCTAACAACTGCCAGTAAATCCAGGTTCAGAGAATCCCATGCCCTCTTCTAAACCCTGCAGGCACTGCACACATGGGTGCACTTACATACATGCAGGAAAATCACATATTTATGTGTATGCAGGCAATACACATAAATAAAAATTAATTTTTTTGTCTTTTTGAGACAGGGTCTCCCTGCAGCCCCAGCTGGTCTGGAACTCACTTTGTAGACCAAGCTGGACTCAACCTCACAAAGATCTGCCTGCCTCTGCCTCCCAAGGTCTGGGATTAAAGGTGTGCACCACCACGCCTGGGTAAAATTTTTAAATACAACAAATAGATACATAGATACACATAAATACAAATCTGTATTTTCCTTAAAATTTGGATCTTGTGCATCATTCTGAACATGGACAGTGAATTAAATCAAACCAGCTCTTTCCAAATGTCCTAAACTTGTCTTCGCCAGTACTTAAGTCTCTATAAGCAGTCATAATTAATCCCCCTGCTTCCCAATTCCAAAGGTAAATTTTTACAAGTGTCTTAGTTTTTGTTTTATTTTTAGGTCTTTCTGAGACAGTGTCTCCCTATAGCCCCAGCTGGCCAGGAACTCACTATGTAGACCAGGCTGACCTTGAACTCACAGAGATCCACCTGCCTCTGCCTCCCAGGTGCTGGAATTAAAACCACCTCTGAGAGTGTCTTAGTTTTGATATCTACAGCTTACGCTGTGAAATTCTGCTTTTTATGCTTTCTAGGGTTACCTAATTCCTCAAACGAGGGGATAGCCAATTATGCCAGGAACAATTATTCAAGGAAATAATCCCCCTTAACCAAATGAAATGAGATGCATCTTGGATCCTATGTTAGCAGTGTGTGTTGCAATACAAGTTCAAGTTCCCATGACATCTCTCATCTATTTGTCTGAAATCTGGTTCATACTTCTGATGTGATTATTATGCCTACAGTAAACTAATAACCAAAAGGACAAGTCTCCCTCTACAGTTATTGCTTGCCAAAGTTTTCTTGGCTATTTTTAGACATTTATTTTTACAAAAGGAACTTTTAAAATATCAGTTGGTCTCATTCTACCCATTCCCTTGGGACTCTGATTAGCATTAGACGCATAATTGGGAAGCCATGGAAAGTGGTCTGGTATTTCCATGCACAAAATCTAACACACCCTCTACACAGTCAGACTTTATTTGATGTCTTTCATTAAGATCTTGACATAGGGGCTGGAGAGATGGCTTAGTGGTAAAGAGCACTGACTGCTCTTGCAGAGGACCCAGGTTTGATTCCCAGTATCCACATGGTAGCTACAAACCATCCTTAACTCCAGTTTCAGGTGAATCTGAAGCCCCCTTCTGACCTCCGAGGCATTGCACAACACGGGTACACTCACATACATGCACGCAATACACTCCTAAACATATAAAAACAATAAATAAAATATTTAAAGAAAAAAAGATCTTAACATAATTCAGATCAGTTTCATAATACCTCTCACTTGCTAAGTTTATTTCTAAGTATTTTACAGGTGATTACTCTGAATGATTTCCTGTCCCACACCTCCCAATTTCCTTTCAAACTGTTCTCTATTCAGGAAAGAAAAAAAAAAGATTTAATCTGTCTTTAATCACTTGAAATCACTTAAATCTTTAATCACACCAAATTCTCACAAATCCAACTAATTAATTTCTACATAAATTTCAGAGATTTTTCCAAGCATTATTATCACCTAAAATTAATATATTAATTTTTATGGCTTCCATCTATCTACCTTACAACATTAACTGCCTCCAAAAGAAGGATTAATTCAGGTACACAAGCATCCATAATTTTATTACTGATTTCAGTGGATAAAACTTTTGCCACTTAATCTATTTTTTATTTTGTCATTTACTAGAACTTTATCATTAAGCTCAATACTTTCTATTATATTTTAATAGATTTCTTCTATTGCGATTTCTTTGTGAGTGTGTGCATGTATGTGTATGCACGTGTAGAGCAGAGGCTAACCTTTGCTATCTTTCCTCAGGTGCTGTCCACCTTGTTTTATGAGACATACTGGCCTGAAACTCTCTAATCAGGTAGGCTAAGCTGACTGGTCCAGGGATCTGCCTGTCTCTGCTTCACCATGTGCCCAACACACCCAGCTTTTCCATGTGGGTGTTTAGGATGAACTTTATCAACTGAGCTACCTTCCCAGTCCCTTCACTTTCTCTCGTGTGTGTGTGTGTGTGTGTGTGTGTGTGTGTGTGTGTGTGTGTGTTCGGTGTATGTGGGCCTTTTTGAGACAGGGTCTCCCCTGTAGCCTCAGTTGGCCTGGAACTCCCTATATAGACCAGGCTGGCCTTGAACTCACAGAGATCCACCTGCCTCTACCTCCCCAGGGCTGGGATTAAAGGCGAGTGCCACCACACCTAGCTCTTCAATTTCTTCTTACCTAAGAAATTTTTAATTTCATGTGTATGAATGTTTCTCTTGTATGTTATGTATGTGCACCATGTACATACCTGGTGGCCAAGAAGGCCAGAAGAATGTTGGATAACCTGGAACTAGATGGTTGTGAACCACCATGTGGATAGTGGGAACCAAAACCCAGTCCTCTGTAAGAGCAGAAAGTGTTCTTGACCCCTGAGCGATCTCTCCATCCCCTTTAAAAAAATCTTATTCAGAATAACTGCCAAACATCCTTTGTCCTTTATTAATATCATGTCATGTTTGTTCTTTACTGATGAAACGAAATACCACAGATTTCTTAAAACTCAGATCTTTATATTTTTTAAAATTAAATCCTACTTGGGAATAGTACAGATTTTTAAAAAATTTGATAGATTTCACTTGATAATTTACACAGAGACACAGACACAGACACACACATACACTAATCATTCGTTTTCGTTTTGTAGTACCTTAATTCAGTATTAAGGCTACTGTATTATTATAAAAGGAACGGGGGACTTTGGAACATTTTCTGAAGCAAATGTTAAACTGTTTAAACAGCTGCAAAAACCTCTGCATTTTAGAAAGCAGCATTTTAATGGCCAAAAGGCTTGCCTTTTAGTAAGGTGGTCAGGCGTGTCTGTCTTCTCCCACAGACAAGGCTCCCACCCTACCCCTTTCAGCTTCAGAAGGCTCGGTTGCAAAAGAATTTCCCAGGATCCCCCTGGTGGTTGGCACTAAACACTGCCACCCTCAAGAGCCTCAGAAAAGAAACAAGATGTGATTTGTTTGGGTGGATTTGACAGCATTCAGTCACAAAGTCTTTCAATATATACTGATTATGCACCAAAAACTCCATGAAAAACAATCTTTTGAACCTTGTTGCACACATCTAAGCACCTGGCTCGCTATCTGGGTCCTGAAGATCAGCTCTTCCAACAAAAGGCTGCTTTCCAGACCATTGGTCAATATTTCCACTTACACCAGACCTCTAATCCCAACAACCAACACCTACATTGTACTACTGCTCTGGGTTGTGTTTATGGTCTTTGCTTAGCCCATATAAGAAAGTCATACAACACAAGCCAGGAAAGGATTCTACGTACATCTGCACCCCACACTCACTTAAAGTGATCCATCACCTTGAATAAACTCCCTAAGCCTCAGCTCTATCAAATGTAATAGAAAAGTATCTACCAGTTACAGATGTGGGAATTAAACCTAGCAGGCAGAGGGTCTGTTCCGTACCATTATTTGCTAACCAGGGTAACTCTGAATTACTGCAAAACAGTTCAGCCAATGCTGTGAAAAACTGGACTCCACCCTCTCTTTTTTGGCTTTTAAACAGGATAAGCTAAATTTAATCTTTCTTGCCCTTTTGTTCACAAACCAATCACAACTGCATTTTAAGGTGGATAGAATTCCTCTCTCTAATTAACATGCAAGTAACATGAACTTCAGATGTGCATATATTAGGGAAGAAAGACACGTTAGATGATTGGCATACTAAAGTAAAAGTAAAACACTCATCTGAATTGTGTATAAATCTAGAGATACACATTTCAGATTCTGTTCATTTGAGTATTTGCTTGGGTATCTTGCTCTAAAACAAGTCCTCATACCTACAAGAACCAAATTTATGCACCCCACACATCTGAATGGCTGGTCAACTTTCAAGCACAGTACAATTCGAGAGAGAAACTAATTGCTTATTTGCAACATTTCATTTTTTTTTCATCTTTTTGAGACAGGGTCTCCTGTAGCCCCAGCTGGCCTGGAACTCACTATGTAGACCAGGCTGGCCTTGAACTCACAGAGATCCTCCTGCCTCTGCCTCCCTAGTGCTGGGACTAAAGATGTGCCCACCACACCTGGCTCTATTTGCAACCTTTTAATCAACTACACCTTAGCAAAACATGTGAATTCCCTCTAAAAGACCAAGGCTCAAAGACATTAATCAGGGTAGAGACAAAAGGTGGTAGATACCAAGTCATAAAAAAATTACATGACATCTTTTATAAAAGTATTAATGTGGGCTGGAGCTATAACTCAGTGGTGTGTGGGCCTAGAATGCACAACGGTTAAGCTTAATCTCCAACACCAAACAAAAGTGCTCTGATAATAGAGAATCTGCACTTGGGGGTTTCTTTCACTATCTGTATACTATCTGCTTTAAATATGAATAGATACCTTACTCACGTAGACAGGCAATCAATCTATCTTCGTAGACAGGCAATCTATCTTCGTAACTATAATGAAAGGTGCAATATTATAACTTAAATAATCCTATTTTCAATTGATATAAAATCATATCATCAGCCAGGCATGGTGGCACAGGCCTTTAATCCCAGCACTCGGGAGACAGAGGCAGGGGGATCTCTCTAAGTTCAAAGCCAGCCTGGTCTACATACTGTTTCAGGCCAGCTGGGGCTACAGGGAAACCCTGTCTCAAAAAACCAAAAAAAAAGTGTATTACCAACGAAATATAATTACCTGATAGCAGTCTCCTGTAAGATTGTCTAAGACATCACCGCATGTTCTTCTCATGTATTTCTTACATCCATCAATCACCATTTGGTCAATGTCCGAAAAAGGTTAAGGGGAATTTGAACATAAAGAATTCTGAAATAGTAACTCTTTTTAAGAAAATATAAAGGTTCAGAAAATTCAGGGTTTTACAGTAGCAATGTATCAAAGTTTTTAAAAAAATCTGATGTGATTTTATTTTCACACCAAAGAAATAGTCAAATGGAACTAGATTTGCTTCTCTTCTCATGAAATGGCTTAGGGAAGTTATTTTGACAAACACTAAGAAGCAGACAGGGTACCCAACACAGCTGCTACTTAATCCACAACTACATTCTTATCTCTACTTCTCTGTTGGTGGCTACATACAAGGCTGCTGGTCGTAAACTGAAATGCTTGTTCAAGGCAGTCAACGTGAAACATCTGCCTTGATTGAGCCTGTAGGAATACTGACTTGAGTCTTAAGATAGCAAAAGAAAGAAGGACCTAAGAAGTCCACTGAAATTGTGCTCTTATACAGCAAAGGATATCTCTACCATAGTGACCATCTTTGGTTTCAGTTTGACTATTTCACATAATATGCCTCCATCTCCACCTCCAAGAATAAGTACATCTTTGCCAGTGTAATCTTCCTTGCCACTGCCCATGATGGCCCGGGTATATGCCAGGTCACTCTCTGCCAAATCTAGGAAAGAAAGAGAGACCCACAAAGTGACTCTACCAATATACACAAACCACCTGACTGTGCTACCCAAGTTAGTGCTGGAATCTTGCCCACAGTGGAAAAGTTTGAACTTCTAAAGTGGTCACCATGTTCAAGGTTGCTTTTTGGACTGAAGAGTCTTCATGAGCACAATTCATCTACCACATACAACAAATGGATATATGTTAATGAGGAGAAATTACAGTCTTGAGACTGTGCTGATATGGTGAATAGGAAATGACATCGGGGCTAAAGAGATGGTTCAGCAGTTAAGAGCACTGGCTGCTCTTACAGAGGACCCGGAATTGATTCCCAGAACCCACATGGTGGCTAACTACCATCCATAACTCCAGTTCCAGAGGATCCGAGACCTTCTTCGTACCTCCATGGGTACTGTATGACACCGGTGTACTTGTACACATGAAGACAATACACTCATACACATAAAAAATTAAAAATAAAATAAGCATTTTTAAAAACTGAAAGAAATGACATCCTTACAGGTGAAATGATATATCCTATGGGGACTGCTTTCAAAATAATACTATAAGCAAACTAGTGCTTTGATGAAAACTGGCCACATATTGGTATTGTCAACACTGGGCCGTGAGTACCTGCAGGCTCATCACACTAGTACGTCTACCTAGGTTAGAATTTTTCCATAACAAAATGTCATTTTAAACAGTCAACTGCACTTCCTATTACTGAAACACAATCCAACACAAGAAAAGGCTATTTCAAGGGGCTGGAGAGATGGCTCAGTGGTTAAGAGCACTGGCTTTTCTCACAAAGGACCAAGGGTTCAGTTCCTAGCATCCACATGGCAGCTAACAACCATCCATAAAAATACACTTTCAGGGGATCCAACACTCTTCTCTGGCCTCTGTGGTCATACATACATGTAGGCAAAACAATACATACAAAATAAAAATTAATAATTGTTTTTGGAAAAGGCTATTTCAGTTCAGCATGGTGGTGCATGCCTTTGATCCCAGCACCCTGGAAGGCAGGCAGATCTCTGTGAGTTCAAAGCCAGCCTGGTCTACATAGCGAATTCTAGGCCAGCTGGGGCTAACAGGGAGACCCTGTCTCAAAAAGACCAAAAAAAGGCTATTTCAAGATATGTTTACACAAAAGTCCAGACAGTTCACAGGTTAGTACAATGTCAGGGAATCTTAAAAGAAGACAGTTGTGTCAGAGCTGAGCTCAAACAAGTTTAAGACAATGGCATCTGTCAGGAAAGAAGTGTCATCCAACACACCATCACCTTGCTATGTAATGAGAACAGGGATGGGATACTTACTAACATCCCCACTAAGGATGAGAATATTTCCAAACTGCTTTGAGTGCAGAATTTTAATGTTCTGATACGGTGAGTCTTCATCATACACCACTTCATCTATGTCATACTCAACCAGGCGCCCATCAGCAGTAGGCCAGTATCGGTCAATGGCTCCTCCTCGAACTATGGGTGGTAAGCTGGAGAGAGGGAGACAGGAATGAGCCTTTGGAGAACATTGCCTTACAAAGGGACCTGGGATGAAGAGTGTGCCAAAAGTGGGTGGGGGGGGCAGAGAACTGGCTCGGAGGTTAAGAGAGCTAAGGTAATGCTCTTGTAGGCCCAAGTTCAATTCCCAGCACCCATATCTGTCAACTCACAAACACCTGTAACTCCACCTCCAGGGAAACCAGCACCCTCTTCTGGCCTCTGTGGGCACCTGTATTCAGTGTACATACCCACAATTAAAAGGAAACTTTAAAAAAAAAGGAATTAAGGACTGGAGAGATGGCTCAGTGGTTTAGAGCACTGTCTGTTCTCACAGAGAACTGAGGTTCAGTTCCTAGCACCCACACGGTGACTAACAACTCCAGTTCCAGGGGATCCAATACCCTCTTATGGTCTTATGGCCTCTGTGGATAACACGCGCGCGCACGCACACACACACACACACACACACACACACACACAGAGACACACACACGCAGGGTGCACTTACATTCATGCATGCAAAACATTCATACACATAAAATAAATATGTATATATTTTAAATTAGACCATGTGTTTCAGGCACAGTCAAATCCAAAGCTTGGGTATTTATGAAATCATGTATAAGTCACAACTTTCTCATATAGCTTACTTCTTTTAAAATTTTTTCTGCCAGCAGGGCACAATAGCATATGCCTTTGATCCCAACACTCAGTAGGCAGAGGCAGGCAGATCTCTGAGTTCAAGGCCAGCCTGGTCTATATATAGTGTGTTCCATGCCAGCTAGGGCTACAGGGAGGCACTGTCTCGATAAGACTAAAAAAAAAAAAAAAAAAAAAAAAAATTGAGTGTTTTAGATAGGGTGAATATACTAGAAACTACCAGCAGAGGCCACTAAGTGACAAAACACCAAAAAGGGGGCTTAGTAAATCGAACCAAAACACAAAGGAAAATGAGAACACACTATACACTCAACACACTACACACCCAACACGAGAGCTTACACTTGTATTCTCAGTCATGTTCAATAGTAAGGCAGCAGTATGCACAACTGGAAAGGCCTGTAATGCCAGGACACACTAGCTGAGACATACTAGTTCTGCCTACTATGCACTCCCCTGTCGACTGCTTCCAATAGTATAGTCACAACTCGATAACAAGTAAACAAGACTGCCTCAGAAAAAAATTCCTAGCATCTGTAAAACTGCATCCAAGCTGACAAAACAATTTCCTACAAATTCATTTAATCCACACAATGCCTGATTAGTGTATGACTGTTTCATCTTTCTTTCCAGTGAACACATTCAGCTTTCAGAATGTTAAGCAGACCAGGTCTGTTTCTTTACAACATAAAGGCCCAGTCAGGACCAATCCTCAGAGAGCAGGAGAGCAGGCTTGGAGGGAGCCTCTTCCACCTCCTAGTGGAAGGGGGTGAGTAGAGCAAGGTGGACAAAGGAAGTCAGGTACCTGTAGGCACCAGGTGACTTTGACTAAGCTCAGAAAACTGCTTCATAGGAAAAAGTAAAACCAATGAGATGGCTCAGCCATTAAAGGTATTTGCCACCAACCACCTGAGTTGGGTCCCTGGAACCCATGTAAAAGTGAAAGGAGAGAAATGGGAAAGGAGAAAAAGTGTCCTCTGACCCCCATGTGCATGGCATGGCATGTGCACATACACATCAACCTTGGATTGCAAAAACTCACATGAGATGTGTTCTGTGCCTCATGTACACTGTGTACAATGCAAGAATCTCTACTGTGCAAAAATTTGAGGTTTGTTTCCTTATTCTTTTGCAACTGAAAGTACAATATAAATTTTCATATAAATCTCATGGCTTGGTCAAAATTTCTTAATAATCATTACCCAAAAGGAAATACTAATTTCAGATAATTATTAGTAAGTTATCGGTTACTAATTTCATCTGACAGTGTCATTCCCCATACAGAAAAGTGTAACAATCCTTGTCCTCTGGAGTAGGGGGGTGGCCAATGATAAAGGGTGTAGTCTACAGCAAGACATTGTCAATTTCCCATTCTTTTCATCCTTATTTTTTTTTAAAAAGATGTAAAAAGTATGACAAGCAAAAACATTTTGAAATGAAATGTGTGACCAGTCTCACTTGAAAAATTCTTCCACAAAACCAGTTCTCATAAACACTGAAGCCCAGAAATATATTTTTTAACAAATATTTTATTATTTTTGTATGTATGAGTGTGTATTGTCAGCACGTATGTATGTGCACTCATGAAGAGCAATGTCCACAGAGGTCAGAAGAGAGCATCAGATCCCCCTGGAATTGGAGTTATGGATGGTTGTTATCCATGATGTAGGTGCTGGGAACTGAATCCAAGTTCTCTGCAAAAGCAGCCAGTACTCTTACCGCTGAGCCATCTCTCCAGCCCCCAGAAATACATTATTTAAAAAAATATATTTATGTGTGTGTGTGTGACTAGTCTCACTTAGAAAACTCCACCAACCAAAGGAAAAAAGTTCTCATAACCACTGAAGCCCAGAAATACACTCTTGTTAAAAAATACTTATTTGCCAGGCATGGTGGCACACGCCTTTAGTCCCAGCACTGGGGAGGCAGAGGTAGGTGGATCTCTGTGAGTTCAAGGCCAGTCTGGTCTACATAGTGAGTTCAGGGCAGCTGGGGCTACATGGAGACCAGTCTCAAAAAGACCAAAAAAATATTTATTTGTGGGGCTGTAGAGCTGGCTCAGTGGTTAAGAGCTCTTGCTGCTCTTGCAGAGGACTTGGGATCAGTTCCCAGCACCCACATGGTGGCTAACAACCGTCCATAACTCCAGCTCCAGGTAATCTGATGTCCTCTTCTGGCCTCTGCAGGCATTGCATGATATGAGTGAGCTTATACACACGCAGGCAAAATACCCATAACACATAAAATCAAAATAATCAAATAAACTGTGTGCGTGTGTGTGTGTGTGTGCGCGCACGCCACAGTATGCACATAGGGGGAAGGGTCAAAGAAAATCTTGTGGGAACTTGTCCTTTCCTCGCCTGAACTCAGGCCATCAGGCTTGGCAGCAAGTGCCTTCAACCACTGAGCCTTCTTCCTGGCCCCAGAAATACATTCTATTTACTCATACTTAGAAGTAGTGTTGATAAAAATCAAAGTGTACTTTGGTGTGGGCTAATTCATTTTCCCACAGAGTGGGAACCTGTTCAATTCAGATAGATGCATATAAGGAAAACTGTAAGCAGGAAAAGATGCAAGTGTCTAGAAAGCTGTGTGAATGTGGACACAGCCAAAATCTCAACTAAATTTGGGTAGGGAATTAAAAAATAAGTCTGTGTGCCAGATTCAAAAAGTGTACAAGTTTTGCACAGGGGTGGGTTCTTTTCAGTACTCTGGGGCATCCCCTTTGCCTTCCGTTTCTACCTACCTACAGGTTAAATAATTACCTAGTTATCTTACATCTGCCCTGGAGCTTTCCTATGGGCTCATCAAACTCAGCAGCATGAGTCATTAAGCACTTAAACATCCTAGCCCTTGCCAATAAGGATTCCCTCTTCTGGAAACAACCCTGTGAGAGAGAAACCAGTATTCTGATCATCCTATCAGAAATCTGAGTCGATTCCCTCCTTGTCTAAGTCTGGTTTTCTGCTTTCCACAGCTTTAGCTCTTGGAATCACTCCATATCGCCTTTCAGTTTTACTGTACCCATCTCCCAGCTCCCAACCCTCGTACCCTTCCCATCACTCCCGGGGGGGGGTGGGGGGAGGCAGTGATTGTTTTTATAAATTTTGTCCCGTTTCAGGTCATGATAACACAATCAAGGACTGGATCAGTTCCCAAGCTGACACTGACTGAGCTTCACATGTTTGGAAGACACTAAAGCCAACACTGCCATTCTGATGATTTTACTAATTAAACAAATATAAAGAAGACATTCGTGAATGGGTGGACTTACCGCTTCACCCGCCCAGTACTCTCCTGACTCAGTTCTTTCATTTTTTCTTCTATTTTGTTCAAAAGCTACAGTTAAAAGAAATCAGTGACTTTAGAGTTTAAGCTGCACAGAACACCTAAATTACAAACCAGAGGTCCAAGATGACACTGACCACTGTGTGATTCCAGTTCATACACCTGCCCCCTCCACAGCTACTGGGGCCCAATTCCACACTCCCACACTAACTCTCCCTCCCCATGGTACCTTAAGCAGTCTGAGTTGCCAAGAGAACTTAGAAGAAAAAGGTCAAAGGATACTGCAGGTGCGAAACTCTATACAAAGGTTCTAAACTCCCTCTAATGAGAACTGAAATCATTAGCTGTACTTGGGAAATTACAGGGAAAACTGACAGGCAGGTTTCCAAAATCCACTGAGGAATAGCTTCTCGGTCAGCACTCATGAAGCTAAGCAGATTTTTAAGAAAGTTAAATCTAAGGTAAAAAAAAATGTAACATATTTTTCAAAAGGAAATAAAAAGTGAAAAACCAACGCTGTCAGTTTCTTCTTTGCATTGTGCATCAGTGTCGTAACTCTGAAGGTCCAGTAACACCAATCCATGCGGATAAATTCTCAAATTGGCAAAGCTACAAAAGAAATCATAATTTGAAGGTTAGGAATTATAATCACAGCACTTCAAAGAGAAAAGAGACAGCCCCGATTAAGAGAAAAGAGCAATGACAAGAGTAAATTTGGGGGAGGGGGGAGGGACTTCTGCAAGAACAGCCAGTGCTCTGAATAGCTAAACCATCTCTCTAGTCCCACCACCATGCTTTTTGACATGAATTCTGAAGACAGAACTCAGGTCCTCACAGAGCAAACGCTTCACCAACTTAGCTATCTCCCCATAGACTTTGCAACACACTAAGCAAGCATGTGATTTTTTGAAAGGATCCCCAGGTGGTTCTGTCAGGTTGAGATAATCAGGAGGGGAATATGGGGGGTTCTCCAACTAACCTACAATGTTCAAAACAGAGCCCTGTTATCCAGGTTGCAAGGCTAAGAATGATCAAAATGCTTAAAGAGAAAGGGAAGAACATGTGACAACAACCTTATGAACATGTTAAACCTCCATACGGGTCTCTTTCTCCTTTCACTTCGCCTATTGGGACTCACCTCAAGGTACTAGTCCTGAAACCTATTTTGCCCATCCTTCCACACATGCTTTCATTTTTACTCATTTTGCTTTCAGAAGCAATCCAAGTCATTCTTGTCATGCAAACACTCCTTTCTAGAAAAAGTTTCAATCTTCTTTACAAGTGGAATTGGAGTCTACCTATGATAGTAACTTTTAAAAAATGTGAGGCAGAGGGCTGGAAAGCTGCTCAGTGCTTAAGAGCACCCACATTGGGCAGCTCACAACCACCTGGAACTCCAGCTCCAGGGAATCTGGTATCCTCTTCTGGACTCCACAGGAACCTGCATTCACACATATACACACCCACACACAGATATACACATACACAAACAATTAAAAATAAAAATAAAATTTAAAATTTATAAATGAAAATACTGAAGCAGGTAGGGAGTGGCTGCAAAGGAAGGCATCTCTCTAAAGAACTCCAGGTTTAGTGACAGATCATGTCTCAGAAAATAAGGTGGAGCGGGAACAAAGGAAGACAACGAAGGTCAACTTCTAGCTACTATATGGACATGTGTACACACACACACACACACACACACACACACACACACACACAAAAGAAGAAAGGGTCAAACATTTGAACTCTTGGGTCATCTCAGCTTCCTGTCAATCTACTTGTAGATGTTGGTATCCTGCATTTTGTGTATATATGTTAGTTATACCACCAGTGGCAACATCACTAGAGGCTCATTGGAAATGCAACAGGGGAAGTCAGACTCTGGCCCAGACCTACTGCAGCAGACACTCTTAGGGTGGTGGCACAGGAATCTGTTTTAACCAGCCCTGGATCATTACCTGCAATGTCACACTGCTTATGCCAGCAGGGCTCTTAATCTCAGCCACACAAAAGAATCACTGGAGCTTTAGAGAAATGCCGATGTCCAGTCCAGTGGCCTTACTCTCTGGGCGAAATACCTGAACAGGGGCATTTCATGAAAGTACTGAATTTTAACCTCCTCTACAAGGTGTCAAAGGCAGAATAACACTTGGGTATCACCCCTATTCCTGACCTTGCCCCTATCTCTGCTCTTCCTCGGAAGAATATACAGAAAAATCCTTGAGGAGCCTTACCTGCCATTTTTATTTGTGTAGGTTGCTAAATAACCATGTTCCTGCCAGGTGTGCACTGACTCCGCCATCCCTTGCTCCTGGAAAATGGACTGGAGGCCTTTCAGAATGGTCTCTCCATCAGCTAAAAGACAGGAAAGAAGGAAGAAGGTTAAAGGAAAAAAATTCAGAAGAAAAGCTAAGGGCTGAGGTGCAGTTCAGAAACAGAAATAGAGCAATTGCCTAGCACGGATGAGGCCCTGGGTTCCATCCCCAGCACCGCAGAAGATAATTAGGTAAAGAATAAGGAAAGCTACTAAGACACAGCTTGATGATTGAACCCCCACCCCTCTTTTTTTGGTCTTTTTGAGGCCAAAAAAAGACCTGTATCCCCTGTATCCCGGACTGGCCTGGAACTCTCTATGTAGCCCAGGCTGGTTGATCTCACAGAGATCTGCCTGCCTCTGCCTCCCAAGTGCTGGGATTAAAGGCATGCACCACCACGCCCAGCTCTTACAAGAAAAGTCTGAACAGAGAGTTGCCAGAATCAATTTCCTCCTCTGTCATGAGCCAGATGTGTCCTCTTCCATGCATGGAAAGGATACAGAGAATACCTGGGTATCCAGTAGGGCAAGAACTCATCACAAATAGATGTGCCAAAGACACAGGGAAAAAAACCATTCAACCTAGAGATTTAAAAAGAATGAGATACCACTTTAAGCTAAATAAATTAATGAGAACACACAGTCCTAGAATGAAGGTGCGTAACTGATATGGATGAGCCTTATACATTACTTGAGAAGTTTTTGTTTTGTTTTCTAGATGCTGTGCAAAAGAGATCTGTTGCTTACTAAATGGTGATGCTCAATAACACAACCCCAAACAGCAGAAACAGAACAATCCCAATGGAAGAAAACTGCTGGCTGTGGGTACTTCCTCCTCGCCATCCTGCCCTACCTCACACATTTTGTCCCCCCAAGGAGAGCTCAAGCTCAGTGTCATTAAATAACTAGGCATGGTGGCGGTGGCACATGGCTGTAATCCCAGCACTCTGGACACTGAGGTAGGAAGATTGCTAGAACGATATCAAGTAAAAACCTGTTTCCGAAACAAAGAACAGCATTAACCTCCAGCAGGCTCACAAGTACATAGTAATACTTAGAAGAAAAGTAATGCGCAGTTTATTCTTCTGTAATTTTATATGCAAAGCAGTCACCCCTGATAAAGGTTAAATGAAGAAGCAACTTGTGACAGGCTTGATTCTCAGGAAGGGATCAAACAGGCCTTTACTTGGAAAAGAATCTTTGCAAAATGCATAATTCAATTATGTATCTCCAGATTAAGAGCAACCAGACTGTACAAGTGTTTTTTAAACCCAACTAACAAGTGTCCTTTTTATTATTTTTATTTTATGATGAGAATGAGTGTATTGCCTGCATATATGCAAGTATACCCATGTTGGATCCCATGGAAGTGGAGTTAAAAACAGTTGTTAGCTGCCATGTGGGTAGTGGGAATCGAATCCTAGGTCTTCTGCAAGAGCAGTCAGTGCTCTTAATCACTGAGTCATCTCTCCAGCCCCAACAAGTGTCCTTCTAAGAGAGAAAGTAGGGCAGGTGACCTGATAGCCAAAATGAACTGAGGTCACCTCAAAGACAAAGATTCACATAAAAGAGAAACCACGGTTACAGAATCTGTATCACACACCCATCCCAACATAAGCAACCGGGAATATGCACAGTATCCCAATGAATCACCAAGCTCTCATTCATTTCTAACAAAGCCATGCCTTTGGGAAACTCATTTGGCAAAAAATAATAGAGCTTACTTTGCTCTTCTGAGAATGGTTTCAGGAAAATTAAATTGAAGGCCTGGGTTATATCTCCAGAGCTACAGCATTTAAGACTAAATTCTACCTCCCTAAAATGTATACTCTGATTTGCAAACTTCATCGAATGTACTAACCCTGTTTGGTTCAGATCCACTGTGGCCTGGTGGGTCAGCACACTGTGCAGGTGACTTGAGCTGAGCACAGAGCAGAAAGGAAAAGGACAGCCAGCCCAGCAGAAGTTACCCTAAATGTGGAAGCTACTATGCCATTATGTAGTCCCTCCCTGGCTAGACCAGATGTTTTCTGTTTTGAGGGTGTGTAAAACAAATTATCATCCTTGGGGCAAATGGCCTCAAGACTGGGTTCTGTTGGCATATTATAAAACAAAAGACAAATGCCCCATGCTGATGAAGAGCAAAATATGGGGTAATTCTGCACCAGGCTGAGGGGTGGGCCAAGAACCTGGCCTAGGGAGCTGAACAGGAGAGTGGAGGTGGGAGGACAACTCAGTTGCTTGGGCCAAGGATAGAGGATGCCTTAGATTCATGCAAAGTCCTTGACTGCTGGCCAAGTCTGGCATGGCAGCCACCCTGTCTTCTGCACTGGCACAATTAGCAGAAAGGCACCACATGGACTAAAAGGAGCCCTCTGGCCATGTTTCATGATATAGACCAAAAGGTACAAAACAAATCCAATTTGAAGTGTTACTTGTTTTCACAAAATGTATGGGCTACTCCCAAGTCAGTATAGCCAGGCAAGTCTGAATGTATTTCTAGCAGGCCAATTCTTCATCCACTCACGTTCCTGGTGTATTTGTGTGGTGCCTGGTCCCTGTGGGTGTCTTGAATATGCCAGCCCTACCAGGGAGCTACTGAGATCATTTCATTTTCCTCACTGTCCACTCACTTCATATTCACTTTCCTCCATATTTGGGGCCTCTTTGTCAACCCTGCTACTCCCAAGCCCAGAAGACTCCAGAAAGCGGGTACTTAGGCTGAGTCAACACCCTGGTATCTCTTTATCAGAATCAGGGTTTAAGGTAAAACTGAAAAGTCTGAACTCTGAGCTAGAATGCACTTGAAATGGTGGCTAGCTTACTCATCATCTTGATCTCAGGTACTCAATAAATGCTGTACAGCCAAATAAAAACATTTCATTTGACTGAGTTCACAGTCCTTATTACTCTTATCTTTGCAGTTTTAAACCATCTAGGCCAGGCGCATTCAACCATAGCTATACATTATAATCATCTAGCTAGTTTTTAAAAATTCTAATACCATATGATAGACAAATTAGATAAAATCTAGGGGTGAGGCATTAGAGAGATGGCTCAGTGGTTAAGAGCACTGGCTGCTCTTGCAGAGGACCCAGGTTTGATTCCCAGTACCCACACAGCAGCTAACAACCATCCATTATCTCCAGTTCCAGGGTATTCAACACCCTCTTTTGGCCTGTGCAGGCATTGCACATATATGGTGCACTTACACACATGAAGGCAAAACATTCATATACATAAAATGAAAACCAATAAATAAAAACTCTGGGGATAGGACTAGGTGTCAATATATTTTTTAAATGTTTATTATTTTTATTTGATGTGTATGAGTGAATTGTCTGCATGTATGTAAGTGCACTCATGTCGTGAAATGACCCCAGAGGTCAGAAGACGGCAATGAATCCCCTAAAACTGGAGTTACTGATGACTGTTAACCACAGTGTGGGTGCTGAGAAGCAAATCCAGATCCTCTGCAAGAGCAGCAACTGCTCTCAACTGCTGAGCCATCTCTCCAGCCCCGGCATTAATATTTTTAAAGCTCCCAAGAAAAATTCCTATGTGTAGCTGATCTAAACCACCCTATACAAAAAAAAAAAAAAATCTAGGGGGTGTAGCCGTTACCATGAGGCCTTAAGTTTTAGCTCCAGTCGCAAGAAGAAAAAGCCTCCTTCCTACCATCTCCATACTAAACACACTCAAGTCCAGAAAAATATAGAAAATGTTCAGTAAAAGAGATCTGAAAAAAAGTCTAAACTTTAATTGAAACTGAAATCACAAGCAACCCAGGAAGTGCTCCAGAAAAATGCTTTGTAATTATTGAAAATTTAATTAACCTTCATGTCTGTACACAACATGTAACACGACCAACCAAACTGGATTTGTTCTCTCAGTACTCAATAATGGAAGTAAGATTGACAATGTATGTGGTGTGAAGGACTGCCTGTCCCTTTCAGGACTTTGGCAACCCCAGTCATACTTATCAGGTATCAGTGATACATATCCCCTCGTCCAAAAACCAAAATTTCCCAGGTGCTCCAAGGTCAGAAAGCAGGAGAAACAGTAGTAACACAATCCTCTGAGAACTACCAGATACACTGGACATAATGAAAATGAGCCTGGGATCAGAGTATGCACAAAATCGGGGAAACATGACAGGACAGCAACATCATCAATGCGTACAAATCAAGAGAAAATGTGAAAGCAGATCCAAAGGCTTTCAAGCAGACATACTAAACCCAAGTATGCCAGTTAACTGTCATTTGGCAGAAGTTCTTAGAAAACTAATTTCAATAGCTGGGCAAGAAGGCCGGATTATATCTAGTCTATTACTAACAATCAGGGCTTCATAACACATTGACCTCTCCCACGGAAAATGTATCCTTTGTCCAATGAATAACACAATGTCTCCATTTCCAGGCCACTGCCTGCTTTGTTTAACAAACATAATCTACATATAACACCACCACCAAAAGAAAAGGAAGATAGGAAGGGAGTTAAAAAAGAATCAAAGTCTAAATGTCAGGCTGAAGTGATATAGTTCAGGAAGTCCCATTCTCAGAATACACCACACACACACACACACACACACACACACACACACACACACAAGCTGAGCATGTTGGCATATGCATGTTGGCCAGCACTAGGGCTACAGAGAGACACTATCTCCAAAATAAAAGTTCAAATTAGTTTGTAATCTGGTATCCCTTCTTCTTTTGAGTTTAGAGGTCAGTCAAGAAAAGCCCCACAGTTGGTTAAGAAAAGCCCCATAGCTGGTTTATATGTGAAGGGAAACTGTACAGCCTAAGCCTAAACTCTTTGGTTCTGACAATGAAGCAAACAAGTCAGGAGTTTGGGGGAGGGACTCCTGAATTAGTGGTTCCTCTTCAGGCAGCTGCAGAGTGGCTCTGAAAGAAAGGGAAATATCAAGAGCAGGCCTATTCAGTGACTCTGCCTGCTGTTGCTGGAGGAGTGGCCTTCTGTCTTAAGCTCATCCCTTTAGCTCAACTGTGGTGAAGAGAATGATTCATCATCACAT